TGACAAATTAAGATGGATATGAAGAAAACATGCCATTAACGGGATTTTTTGTCACAATGTTTAGACCTAAAGGTATTAGTAACATATATTTCTTGTATTTTTTCTGATATTTTTTTGTATTAATATTAATAAGACACAAGAAAAACTGTTTCTAGAGAAAGTGATGTCCGCTACACAATAAAGAAATGTTTTATGCGTGTCTTTCTATTGTGAATTCTAGGGGAAAAAAATCTTCCTAAAAGGCTTCACTTAGCTACTCTTTCTACCAAGTCCTCTAGACTAAAATGTATTTGGAAATAACTGAATTTCTTTTCTTGTTGTTTATCCTCTGAATTAGAATGTTTGGGGGAAATTATTTAGTTTATAATTTTGGTCATCTTCTGAATAAGAATGTTTCTTGGGAATAGCTCGGTATATATCTATGGTCCATCCTCTGTTTTTTTGGGAATGACTTAGTTTAATTTTTACCACATTCTCTGATTAGAATCCGTTTAGGGGAATATCATTCCACTTAAGTAATCCTAATTAGGCCTAAGCAGAAAACTTGATCAAATCTTGTTTTTAGAAACAGTTTAATGTTTTTTTTTTATATTTTCATCGTTAATGGTAAGAAATTAACAACAAACTCACTGCTTGAATCCAAATATAATTACTAAGACGCAGAGTTTATAAACGACCATAACCGAATCAATTTGTATTAAAAAACTCTATAAATTATCACCATCATCTTTGTAACTATTCAAAGAGGGTCTGTGAACTAGATTTTCTCATATCTTTGTTTTTATTCTCACGAACAGATTCTACGTACCTCTTGCATTTCTCTGTGGCTTCATAATACCCACAATGATACCCGTTCTTGGTTGGGGTGAGAGGTTATGGTTTGCCTTTGTAACCAATGGCGTTGCTCGCTACGTCGTATCGCTACACCTGACTTGGCTCATCAACAGTGTCGCCCACTGGCGGGGAAATAAACCATACAATCGCTTTCTGACCGCTGTGGAGAGCGCCAATATAACCTGGTGGGCACTAGGAGAAGGCTTCCACAATTTTCACCACAGTTTTCCCAACCACTACGCCGCCAGCGAGTATGGCTGGAAACATAACTTTACGACAATGTTCATCGATTGGATGGCTAAACTAGGCCAAGCTTATGATCTGAAAACGGTACCAGATGAAGTTATTGAAAAGACGAGATTGAAAACCGGAGATGGAACCACCACCTTTGGACCTTCTATTGAAGAGATTGCGAAGAAACGCTAGTAACTTGAAATATACCTAAAACACGTTCATTTTCTATAACCCACGATTATTGATTATTTACAAGGCGTACATTTTAGTAGAAAATTTACATTCTGTTAGAGAAGTATATGTAGTTTTGACAATTTAGTAAAGAAAATCCACACCAAGTATTTAGTATCACATTAATACTTTGAAGGTGTCGACAACTTCATGGAATATTTATAGGCCTATGTAGGATAAAATATATATTTAATGGGTGACGATAATTTACTGAGATGTTGTCTAAAGGAGCATTTAACGACCTCACCATTAAATACGATTATTATTAAAGAAAGGTTACTTTTAATCTGAACACCGCTGTTCTTTAACTAAAATAAAGAATACAAAATATAGTTATTTATTGTACTTCATGAAAATTTCAGATAAAAAAATAAACTTGCAACTTCAACAGAAGTATGTGTTATATTTGAAAACAATTTAGTGCCTTAGTAGGAACACAGAAATACGAATGATTCCTCAGTGTACGTTCTTCATTGTTTGGAATGTAGCAACTTTCATCATTTATGTAACAAGTTTCCTCTATTGCACGCATTATGAAAATGTGATGGAAAATATGTTTGAATTCCTTATTTAAATATGTCTATATTATGCAATGAGATGTTTATTGTGAGATGCAATATTGTTCAATTGGGGAACAAGGAAAGCTAATTCTATTTAGACGGTTACCTGTGTGTTACGCAACAAAGATAGATTTGTTATCATGTGCAATAGAAGGTTAAACTTGTGTCTGTTTCACTGTTACCAGTTTAGTGTGTTTTTCTTTTTAACTTTTGGTACAAATTAAAAAACCTAAAACATTTTCCTGTAAACAAGCTTTTAATAAACGTCTTGCATGCTTTCTGAAAGTAGAATTTATTGTTACGTTTCTGATCGTTTGTTAATTTCCGGTATACATTCTTCCCGAGGAACTTCAGCGATACAAGTCCTTTCTTAAATAAAACTAATTTATTCTTTCTCAATTCAACTTTGTAATACACAGAATTTCCACAGTTACTTTAACTTAAACACACGCCATAATTCACAACGATTCACGCACTTTACTTACGGTCATACCGCTCGCTTGATTCAATTATCTCTCTCTATATCTATCTATCTGCAATTATTTGCCGGGCTTATATACTAAAATAGAGAGAGCCTGGAAAAGACTAGAGTTGCCAGGAAAAGTCATGATCCTTCTAGAAACTCATGTCGTGTTACCAGCGTCACATGGCTTCCGATGTAACATTATTATATCAATTTCATGCTATTGAGTTTCAACCTTTCGAAACCTGAATGCCATTTTTTGCTCAGTAAAATGATGTTAATTGTATTTATTCTAGAACATTATCAATAATTATTGCTTTTCCTTTCTCCACAGTGAAAATCACGTGTCTAAAAAGTATCATGTATATTAATTTTATTATTCAAATCAGTTTCAGCGCACAAAAAATCACCTTTCATTATGTAAAGTTTAAAATTATTTAATTTCACATTTTTTGATGCATGAAATTTGTCAAGCATTATAAAGAAAATATAATTGATCTTAGATAGAATGATTGCGCTTATTTTCATGTAATACTAACAATTGACTAATATCCTTTTCAAGAGGATCTTTAAATGTTTGAAAAAGAAGAGCTTGCTCCCATAAAAGTGTCTAATTTTCTGTAAAGAGACAAACAAAACTAGATATAAGAAAGCTGATAAGTGTAAGAAGTGTAATCTCTGCAAGAACGCTTTAAAAACTCTTAAACAATAAACATGAAACTGAGACACTTGATATTGTAATTACCGCCATCTATTGCTTGAAGAAACAACTGAATTAAAAACTTAATACACATGCACAACATCAGCAACTGATTAATAAAATAAATTATGTATGTAAACGACTGAAGAAAATAAACAAAGACAGCGTACTATGTGTGAGACGGGTTTTTGATCGAAGGAGAAGAAATACGAGCCACTTGGCTTCTAAATTTACTTTTCTGCATTCCAACATCCCCAGTTAAGATTAGGAAAAAGAAATTCTGGCCTTTAATCGTTCGGTTTATTATTAAATATAATTTAACCACCATTAGGCTTAAGACAAAGGATATGAAAAACAATTTAGTGATTAGCAATATCTGAACTTTTTTACCTTGATTTTTGAAAAAACTGATCAAGTTTATATAATAACAGGACAAGCTATAAAAATGAGACCAGAAATGCTAATTTTATATAGTTAGTTGGCTTCTCTTACGGGTATGAAATAGAAGCAACTGAGATCTTTGATAGAAACACACGAAGTAGAAGCAATATAGGTCCTTGTTAGAAACATAAGAAATAGAAGCAACTGAGGTCTTTTTTAGAAACATATGAAGTAGAAGCAACTGAGGTCTTTTTTAGAAATATATGAAGTAGAAGCAACTGATGTCTTTCTTCTTAGAGACATATGAAATAGAAGTAATGGAGGTCCTTGTTAGAAACATATGAAGTACAAGTAACTGAGGGCCTTGTGAGAAATATATGAAGTACAAGCAACTGAGATCTTTCTTGTTAGAAACATAAGAAGTAGAAGCAACTGAGATCTTTCTTGTTAGAAACATAAGAAGTAGAAGCAACTGAGGTCTTTGTTAGAGATATATGAAGTAGAAGCAACTGAGGTCTTTCTTGCTAGAAGCATAAGAAGTAGAAGCAACTGAGGTCCTTGTTAGAAACATATGAAGTAGAAGCAACTGAATTCTTTCTTCTCAAAAACATATAAAATAGAAGCCATGGAGGTTCTTGTTAGAAACATAAGAAATAGAAGCAACTGAGGTCTTTTTTAGAAACATATGAAGTAGAAGCAACTGGGGTCCTTGTTAGAAACATATGAAGCAGAAGCAACTGAGTAGTAGACCAGTTTAGCGGTAGAATCGCCTACTAGAACCACCTAGTAATATGAACCACTTAGTAGTAATCTCCTAGTGCTATAACCACCTAGTAGTAGTAGAGACATCTGGTGGTAGAACCTTTTCATTTTTGCGCACATTATAGGCAACCAGATAATATATAATTCATATTTTACATGTTACGTACTTGAATTGAGAAGGTGTATATTGTAGCAATAAAACTTAAGCCTGTAGATAAACTCTGCTCAATGATAAAACTAACTTGTATATTCTGAGGAAAATAGAAAATTATATAATGGACTGGTTTCTCAGTCATTACAATCTTTGAATTATTTGGCAAACTTTAAAGTTTTATTAAAATATGAAAATGATTTCATATACTTTTCTTATATACCGAATAGGACTTTATTAATGATGTTGATAGTTTAGGTCTGTCTTCGTTTCACAACTATATGTCTCACAGTATACTCCAATAAAAACATCAAGTTGTTTCCACATAGATATCTTATTGATTTCTTTATAAGAAAACAATATAAAAGTAATTTAATAAATAACATTGTGTCAAGAAAGTCGACAATATATAAAAATATGGTACAATATTCGAGTAGATTCAAGATAAAAAAATTAACCCTTCGTTGTTCCAAAAAACGTTTTTTACTCTTAATACCTTACAGTCATACTTTTCATAAGACATTAATATTAGGACTGTTATAATTTTAAACTCTACAGTCTATAACTAATCTCTTTGGAATATTAGAAAAATATGGCGTGGTTGAAATAGTATGACTACACAATATTTTAATTTTTGTAATTCGCTATGAACTAGGTAAAGAATGTAGTGTTTCAAAATATAACAAGCCTGATACCAATGTCTTTGATAAATATAATTGGTTAAAATCGTATTTCGCCAGCTTGTAAAAAGAGTTCACATCATAACAATGGGTACTTACAACCATACCAGCAATGAGTCCATCCTTAAAGTCTGTTTTTAGTGCAGAATTTGAAAGTATAGTCCAAATATGTATGTAACTAGCTTTGATGTAGAATCTTTTTATACTAACATCCAGCTATAAGGAACTATTGATTTATGCTAAGAACTGGTGTTTCATGGTACGAGGGGTTAAAACAGGTGCGCTTCCAGGCGGCCTTTGGCCCCCTTACGGGGAAACAAAAATAATAAATCTAAACCATTCAGAGTGACGTATTTCCATTAATTTAATTTCGAAATAGGTCCAGTGTGGTCTTATGGTTAGCGCACGCGGACTGTGAATCCGAGGAACCATCCTTTACGGCCCACTGCCACAAAAACGCGCTCCACGCTTTAGGGCTATTGTTGGATCATAAAAGTAAAAGACAATTCCAGTTATTCGGTCATATAAAAGTAGCCCAAGAGTTGACAATGGATGTTGTTCACTAGCCTGCCTTTCCTTTAGTCCATCACGTGAGAATTTGTGTAGATATACGCGAAATTTCTGAAACTAACAGCTTTCTGGATCGGTATTCTGAAATTAAAAAATATACCTTTTAAAATATTAAATATTGAGAATCTTAGATAAGAACATCTTGTGACAGTAAAGTAAGATTGATAAAATAAATAAAACTAGTAAAACATTTGAGAGAGTAAATCGTGTGATAATTATGTGTGCTATGTTATAATATAATATATCTATTGGTAAATAATATCAACTTAGTGTTTTTCCTCATTATAAAGTAGGAAACATTATAAATTCTGTCAACAACAAAAACTTTAAAACTTATAGTATGTGCTAATTTAAACAATGTTATTAACTTCAGATTTGTCGTAATTGTTCATCTGTTACATCATCGATTTGTGATACGAATGTTAGTAACTTTAGATTTGTAGTAATTGTTTATGTGTTACATCATCGATTTGTGATGCGAATGTTAGTAACTTCAGATTTGTAATAATTGTTTATCTGTTACATCATCGATTTGTGATGCGAATGTTAGTAACTTCAGATTTGTAGTAATTGTTTATCTGTTGCATCATCGAGTTGTGATGCGAATGTTAGTAACTTCAGATTTGTAGTAATTGTTTATCTAATACATCATCGATTTGTGATGCGAATGGTAGTAACTTCAGATTTGTAGTAATTGTTTATGTGTTACATCATCGATTTGGGATACGAATGTTAGTAACTTCAGATTTGTAGTAATTGTTTATCTGTTACATCATCGAGTTGTGATGCGAATGTTAGTAACTTCAGATTTGTAGTAATTGTTTATCTGTTACATCATCGAATTGTGATGCGAATGATAGTAACTTCAGATTTGTAGTAATTGTTTCAAATCAACCCTCGTGTCTACTACGCACATACTGTTCATTCAGAATACAAGTAATATCCCTTTAAAGTTTGAAAACAAGGGTTTATAATATAACATGTTTTGATTTGCTTTCCTTACATGTCAAGCATATTAACTCTCCTCCATAAATAATAATATAAAACTCTACGAAAGACTCTCTTCTAAAAATGTGACACAAATACACAAACGAAGAAGCAAATGTGGTTATCGCTACATTATACGTGTTTTAGTGCTAATTAAATAATGTTTGATAAGTGGACATGTGTGAATATTACAAAGAATTTATTAATATTTTTCCAGCGATACAAAAGATGGCGACTGTGCAGAGTGTCGATAGTGCAACAAACACGTACACTGTGGTAAATCTCTTTGAAAACTACCTGTGAGTTAACGGTATACCGAAAGGTAAGGAACACAAGATATTGATGGTAACGTATATATTATTAGTTGGATATGACAGTTGATATCAACATTATAGGGTTTCAAACTGTTGGAGGTGTTGCCATCTAGCCTCGAAATCATCTTAACTTTCCTCACCAGCTCAGTTGGTCGTCGTTAGCCCTTTCTGTAGTTGTGATGGTTTAATTGTGTTTATTAATTGGAATAAAGATACTACCGATCTTAGAGAGAACTTAGTATGATAGGCAGGGAGTCATTCCCTTTAGCGTCAAAAC